ATAATATATAATAATAATATAATAATATATAATAATATATAATAATATTATTTATATCAATATAATATTAATATTATATATTATAATTAATTTAATAATTATTATTTTTAATATTAATTATATATATATTTAATTAAAAATAAATTATTAAAATAATAATACTAATATATTATTGAACCCAAAAGGTCGTGCAGCTTTCGTTTTGACCGCACAACCACAGAGAGTCACGATGTGGTGCCCGTGCCTAAAGAGACAACACAAACACCACGGATCACTCCCGCAGGAGGCAAATGAGGAAGCAACAGCTTGGAAAACAAAAACACCAAAAGAAAAAGGCACCACAGGCCCACACACCTCTGGGACGGGTGGCCGAGGGGAGCCGAAACTCAACAGCACATTGGGTCAAATACTCGTGCACTGCCTAGTGGCATGACACTCGTGGTATTGAACCCAAAAGGTCGTGCAGCTTTCGTTTTGACCGCACAACCACAGAGAGTCACGATGTGGTACCCGTGCCTAAAGAGACAACACAAACACCACGGATCACTCCCGCAGGAGGCAAATGAGGAAGCAACAGCTTGGAAAACAAAAACACCAAAAGAAAAAGGCACCACAGGCCCACTCCAACAAGTCAGAAAAAGGAAAGAACCACATCTCAGCCCACCATGACTTGTCCCTTTGCGCAGCGATTAACTTGAGCAAGAAGACGCTTGCGAAAAAGAGAGACGAGGGGCTTGGAACGAGCCGGGACTGCCAGTTTGACTAGCGTAGCCCTAGCATCATCAAGGTAAATACGGGCGGTGGCTTGGTCTTTCCAACGTCCGCGGATCATGACGGCATCAAGCCCGTCCGTCTTGGTATAAAAGTAGGTAGCCCCTCCTCTTCTGATGCTGTACGGAACCAGCTGCAGGTGCTGCAGCTCAAAGAAAGCGCAAATTGCAGAGAAGCATTGGCGAAAATGCGTCCCTGAAAAAGGCCACAGAACTTCGTCCGCGCCAAAATGAAAAGTAACCAGCGCAGCAGCTGGGACAACCGCAGGTCAAAATGAGCCAAACTTTGCTGGGCAGAAGGAGAGGTCTTCGACGCAGCCAGTCGTAGGATGATTGAGCCGTCATCCAGGTTGCAAAGGATATCACCGCTCCGCAGAGCCAATGTCTCTCCAGTCCGGAGGAAAAAGACAAAACTCAGAAGGAAAAGAGTCGCTAAACGAACCCATTTCAGAAGTAGGCAGAGGCCAGTGAAAGCTTGGATCAAGGGCCAGGTAATGGGTGTGGCTCTTCTTGGTGTATGCTCACGACACCAGTTATTGTACCACTGTTGAGAGATTGCCACCTCCTTTCTTACCCGCGGGTAGAGGCGCTTGATCCCACTAAGTACCCAGCCGGCTTTTGTCAAAGAGTCCCCTTCCTGAAACAAGTGGTTGATGTACTCGGCCAAGAGTTGATCCAGCCGTACGTACGATCGCGGGAGGCCAAAGCCTTCCAAATCCAAAAACCGAAAGAAAAGTGAAACTTCTCGCCTATAAATGCCCAAAGTTCTTCGTGAGATGCCCGCTGTTTTCAAGTGCTGCTTGCGAGTCATAATCCCTCATGGAGGCGACTCGGACGATCAGCTTCGTTCCATTTGCTAATCGTCCAGAGGTGAATCGGCAAAGTGCCGCTCATAAGGGCCAGGGCATTCACTCTACGAAGAAGGCGGTTGAGGCGAGGTGAACTTGATCGTCCCTTTGTGAGGCAGTGGAACGTCACCTGAGAATCGGTGATATTGAAGTAGCGGCATCCCAGTTGAGCACGCTGCCTTGTTCGACGTCTGAACTCCACCAGGAACGCCGAGACCTCCAGAATGTTGATGTGTTGATGCTGCCGCCAAGCAAAGGCCAACTTCACCTTCCAATCCCACTTGAAAGCAGGATAAGGCGACATCATGCTTTGACTGCCGTCTTCAGCTGACGACAACAGCTTCACGCCAGTGCCACGCAAGCAGACATGGCGCAGCATCGTTTTCAGGTGCTCCTTCTCCTTGCCAGGAACCATTGTGCGGATCACCTCCAAGACCCGCATGGCTGCACGCGACGCAATCACAGGGTTCTGAAGCCCACGAGTTGAGAATCTCAGGGCCGCCATAATTTCACCTTCCTCGTCAAACACGCCCGCAGACGGAGACGGGGACAGCAGTTGCAGTTGGGATTTGAGAGCTTGCGCATAAACCCGGCACATGCGCCATGGGTACTCGGCCTCGGCCGTGGTATCGAATTGCAGGCCCCCTTGCACCTCATGAACTTCATACGGCAGGAGGCCCGGGTGTCCGCCACAGTCGGGCTTGTGCAGAGCCCTGTGCAGCTCTGGAATGTTGTGGACCAGTGCTGTCCATTTGGTGCGCTGTCCTCCAAAGCAGCACTAGCTGAAGCAGGTGACGAAGAAGCCCGGCAGAGCACAGATCTCCATCGCTTCAGGAGTTGACCAAAAAATTGATGACCATGGGTGCTCCACTGAAGCAAACCGCCCCCTTTCATGGGCGTCATGTAGTCCCTGCAGGGAGCGCCGTCCCATTGCATTCCCTTGCCTGACCTTCACTTGGTTGTCTGGGGACAAGTTAGGCACCCCCCAAGGCATTTCATGGCTCCTCAGGGCCGGTGGTCCTTGGAGGTAGCGTCCTGATGTAGTCCAGAAAGGTCTGCCTCTGGCTGAAGAGTATGTCTTACATTCGGGCGCCCAATGCGATGCAGACAGATGGCTGTCATCCTCCAAACCTTCCAAGCACTCCTTGCCAGCCGGGGAAAAGAAATCCCAGTTGCCATCTCTCAGTTTGTCGAGCGGTGGCTGGACAAAAATGCCCTCAAGGGCTACTGCTTTGGTAAGGGGACAATTCGGTCCGGAGAACCTTTCACCAAATGTAGCTCGCCCCAACATTCCCCGCCCGCAGGCGTGTCGATGGGCAGCAATGCAGTCCACACAGCAACCGAACACGCCACAGCCATTCGGACAGGGGTAGCCGACGGTAGGGTCGCTGCCCATCTCTCCTTGGCATTGACCACACTTGCCCTCGAACTGCAGTTTCTCGGGAACTCCGAGACAGTCCTTCACAAACGCAGTGGCGGTACAACTACCTCCCCCCGTCGGCGATGCATCTGTGCATGACACCTCGGTGGACAACTTTGCTCTGAGGTTTGTTTGGCTCAGCGGCGATTGAATGCACAGGACCATGATCTCGTCTGCTACAGCAAGAGTCGGGTTTACATCGTTCCACTTGGAGGCCTCGATCAGGTTGAAAATGTTGCCCATGCCTGAGAAAAGCGACCGCTTGAAGGTTGCCAGGAAAGCCGTTTTCCCTGTCCAGTGCCGCAGCTGAAATTCATTCCATGATCGGCGGGCCAAAAGAGCGAGGCTGAGCTGGATGTAGTTGCGCAGCTTGTCCGAGCCCAACTTTAAGACGCCCCTCATGCCGTCAAATTCACCACCTTGCATTCCGCCTGCAAAAGCATGGATCAGCTGCTTGCTCTCGTTGCGGGGCAATCCCGCCTCGTCGCATGCCGCATTGAAGCGCTGGTGGTAATCGGACATGCCAGTGCCCTCCTTGTGAATCTCCAGGTCAACCTTCTTGATGATCTCCATCTCATCAAAATTGTCCAGGTAGACCACCGCAAAACTCTTGCCCTCAGGCAGCGGTCGGTGCTTTTCTGTGGAAATGGTTCGAGGTACCCCGGCGCGCCGGAAAACCACATCACGCACCGCTTCTTGAACCAGTCCCACTGCGGAATGCCAGCCCATTGGGATCACGCACAGGGCTGGCCTGACCATAGTGCCCGCAGGGAGGCCCATCGCCGCCCCGTCCACCTTCTTGCTGTAACTGAAAAAGGGCAGCCATCTGTCCGGGACAGAGAACAGGTTGAACGCCGACTGCAGGTCTTCACTCTCCAGGTACAGGGCTTCATCTTCTTCCAGCATGAGTCCAGTGATTTGACCAATGTAGGGCAACGTATCCTGTACCCCCACCAGAGGGGTCGTCACTGCATTGATCGGGCAAAGGATTGAGATAAACCGCTGTGCGGCAATTGTCTTGCCGTCAACCATCTTTTCCTTGAAGACAGCCCCAGCACCATTTGTAATGAGGTGCCCAGACCTGTCCCGCGGGACATCTGCATCGTTGACGGGACGCATCATGCCACGCTCCCACGCCGCTTCAACGATCTTGAACCATTCAGCGTCACTGGCTCTGACCCGCGAGCGTGGAGCGTTTGAGGGCATTCTTTCCCGCGGGAGGAGCAGCTTGTGGGGGTCTTGAAACGCTGCAAGGGTCTCAGGGGTCAGAAAGGCTTCAATGGACTGCACGCCGGCCTGACCCCTCCTCGGCCATGCCATGACCACTTTGTCGCACACCAGGTCCTCCATGTATTCCACGGGTCGCCCGGCATAGTCATACTTCTTTGAGGAGAGAAGGCGATCACAGTCCGCAAAGGGCAATAGTGTATCAGCAGACAGGATGTTAGAATCAACCACGCCAGCTAACTCTGTGATTGCGGACTTTTGACACAACGACAACGCGTCTGGCACCGGCACACAGATCGGTTTTGCCCAGCCAGTGCAATACTGGAAGTCAATCACAGCCACCAAAGCCTTCACCCAATCGATGTTGTTGTCGGTGACACCTTCGATCTTGGTTGTGATCCGCCACATCGGTATAGGGAGGAGATCACCATGCCCATCGGCCTTTGAGCCTTCCCCCGCGGTGGAGGGTTGTGCGGTCAAACAGTATGAACGGACGAAATTGTCCAAGGGGGTAGGCATGGTTAACAACAGCTCCAGCAGGTGCCTTCCCAAATCGGTGAAGGTGGCGCGGACCTTGAAAAGGTCCCTGACGTATCCCGACCAGTCACTAAGGTTATCGGCCAACCTGAGATTCAGCTTGAGCAGATTTGGAGGGCATCCCTCAGCGTCATCAGAGAGCTCCGAGGGTACTTCCGGGGAGACCTTGTCCAAGTGTTCAAGCTCGCCCGCGGGCGGGTGCTTATGAGCACGAGGCTTTGCAACTGGGCTCCTTGGCCTTTTGATAGTTGCCTTGGCCGCAGCCAGATTTTTAACCCTTAAGAGGGCAGGGCTAGTCGTCATGCGACTGGGGGTTTCTCCGACTCCTGTTGGTGAGTCCAGCTGTTCACCGGGCCGCGGCCCTTCTTCCCCCTGCCCTTTCCTTTTGATTTCCCCTTTTCGTCTCCTTTTCCGTCCCCCTTGTGGGGAGTTCTCCACTGCGGAGTGCCGATGGTCGCCCGCATCTTCTGCTCCACCGTCTGCTCCTTTGATGCCATCAACATTTCGTCTTTTTCGACGAGTAACGCGCCCTCGGGCGGAATCAACTCCAAGAACTGAGCCCTCGACCATGTCTGGTCGGCCAGGAAGAATTCGAGTGCCTTGTATCTCTGTGCTAGCACGTCCCCCGCTCGATCTGAACGGCCTTGCGCCAGGAGATCCAGTGCCTTTGCCGTCGTCCGCAGCTCCCTGCTTGTCCTCAACGTCAAGCGGTCCTTGTACTGCGGCAGGAGGACCGTCAGGAAGTAAGAGCTGGCTGCCGACGGTGTCAGATTTGTCGCTGTGCCCCGGTTCATGGGGCCCTCCTCTCGGGCTAGAATGTCCCTCATCTTCCGCAGGAGACGGGCTGTGAGGCGGCCCGGTGTTTTCTCTGCGTACTCCTGAAGCTGAAGATGCTTGGACGTGGTGGAGGGCCCCGCGCGAAAAACTTGCTCATCTTGCTGCCCAGTCTCATCCTCAGATAATGGGTCACCACTGCTCTTTCCATCATACCGGACACGCTGTCCAACACCATAGGGACCACGATCAACCTGGTTGTCCTTTTTGGTTTTCTTTTTCTTCTTCTTTTCACGACTAGGCGATCGTGACCTCACCCGTTTCTTCTTGTCACCACGGTATGACTGTCCACGGTCACTTCCTAATGAATCCTCCCCGCAGGGACTCACACTCACCTTCTTTCCAAACCAGAGGGGTTGATGCTTGGCCTTATCAGGCGACCTGCTTCGCTTGCGGTCACGGCTGCGTCGCTTTTGCTTGCTGTGAGATCTTTCACGTCTCTTACGTTTGCGCTTGCCGGCTGGTTCATCTTTGCGCCTGGCAGGTTCCCCGGCAGTCTGGCGCTTGAGATCCGCCAACCGGTGACGGACACCATCATCTTCGTCAGCCGCCAAGTCAGGGAGAGACTCTTGGTCTGACAAGCTCCAGTCCAAATCACCACGGCCGGCCTGCCCTGGCTTTGCCGGCTTCTTTTTACCACCCCGCGGGGCACCACTGTCAGTTTTGTCACCTCGTCAGCGATGTCGTCCTTGGCAGGCGCCACCTTGAACCAAGGAACACGGAGGTTCACCAGATCACCAGCGTCCAAGGTACGGAAGTAGTCGGTGTGGAATTCCAGCTTCGGCTTCTTCTTGGTCTTGCTGCAATTGGCCTCGTCGGACACACAAAAATGAAGCCAGAATTTCCGGGACTCGTCCCTGCCACCGCCCTTTGTCAGCCACCAGTAAAGGTGATCGTCGCTGACAGCAATGAGCTTCGCGGCTGCCCAGATGCCGTCCTTTCTCCTCGGTTCTGGGCCGCTAACGCGCCAGACACCCTTGCCTTGTTCTCGGTGTCCTTCATCGTAAAGGGTGCGCTCGAAGTACTCCCCGGTTCCCGGGTTGAAGTCCTGGAAGAAATCCGGGTTGTCCTTCAGATGGACCCAAAGCCCAGGCATTGAAGGCCACCCAGTGCCGGCCCACGGACCACAAGCCCACGGGCTGGGGCGGCCTCCAATGCCAGATCACTCCGGCCCGCGGGCCCCCACGCACTAACCAGACCGCGGGCCCCAAATTTGAGCCGAAACTCAAAATTATATATATATATATTTAATTAAAAATAAATTATTAAAATAATAATACTAATATATTAATATTTAATATATATTAATATATATTTTTTAGAATTATAAGATTTTTTTTATAATAAATATTAGAATTTAGGAATAATTATTCATTTTAGATTTGTAGAATCAGAAATAATTTATAATATATTCAAAATTTCAAAAAAGAATATTATCAAATGTTGCATGGCTTAAGGATGGGAAGAATTTCAATGTGTCCATTAATTAATTTGCATTGAGGTCTGCATGATGCACTCACCAAAATCAAAATATCATATTAAATTGATAAAATAATAGTTTTGAACAAATATTATATCTTACATCATTATCTTTTCTTTCACTGCAAAGGTAACCCCCAAGAACAAGTCAGTTATCACTATTTCAGTAGGAATTCATTGTTCTGTCTTTGTGAGGGATTTTTATATTGATTTTCTTTTTTTTGATTCAGCGATGCTGCTTTTTGTTGCGAAGTTGCTTCCCTCGTTGCTTCTTGCCTTGGGTGTACTCTGAATCCCTAAGAAACTAAGGCAGCTAGTTGTCTGCAGGAAAAAAAAACATATAATTCAATGTATTGGTTGGCAATGCTAGGAATTATACTATCCAACATATTGGGATTATCAAAATCCATGAACTGAGAATTACCACGATAAGAAAGCATTATTATTTGACTCTCCAATGGGTGGTCCAAACTTAACGCCCGACGGGAAACCATTGGTTTCCCCCCCGCCCCCAATGTAAGCCCCATGTACAAACAACTTTGAGGGAAACAAAGAATGGCCAATCTTGTATATAACTTTGATATCTACCTGCCTTTCTCTGTGGCTGGGTGCGTATATGATTATCTATACATTAATTATGTATATATATATGTATTATGTGTCCATTTACTGACTGCTAAACATCCAAGGTTGACCCAGAAAACCACTATCGGATAACCACGAATAACTAATATCATCTAACATCCCAATCATTTCAGTGGTTTCCCAACCTTTTTACGGCCTGCCGTTCCCCCCACGGCCCGTTTTCGATCGATCCTTTCACCCAAGCAGCTCAGGTGCCCGTCGGGACCCGCAGGTGCGGCGGCGCGCTTGCCACGGGACCTCGGCACGTCGGAGTTCACCACATCGGAGCGAACAACATGTCGATTTCACCAGGTTTCATTGGTTTCAGATACTGTTAATGATGATGGTTAATTCATACTAATGGTATCTAATGGTTATTTTATGGCTAATGATGGTTAATAATATACTGGTTGGTGGTATACCTACCTACCATTGGTTGGTAATATACTGTTAATGATGATGGTTTTTAGACGTATGGTTATGAAAAATGGTTAATGACGGTTATATAATCATATACTGGTTGGTGGTTGACAGTGGTTGACCTACTCTGAAAAATGATGGACTTCGTCAGTTGGGATGATTATTCTCAATATATGGAAAACAAAAACCATATTTCATCCAAAAAACAAAAAAACAAGTGGAAGATCTGGAAGGTTTTGATCAAACTGATCATCAAACAGGAAAAATGATATCTCTAAAACCATGGAAAAAAACTGGAAGTTTGATCATCAAACTGATCAAACACTCGGATTTGATATCTCTAAACAAACATGGCACCAAGCTCATGGGGATTCCATGGCAGCAGTTTCCATTGCCTCTCTAGATTACCAAAAGGTATATCAAATTATATCAAATACATCGATATGTAAGGTAAATGGTAGTATACTCAGGTATGCTTCAAACACATAGTCACACATATACATATATATATATATTTATCTACACTGGTTGGTGGTTGAGCCACCCCCAGGATATGACAGTCAATTAAATTGCAATTAATCTACCTAGTGAAAAGGGTGATACAGTAAATCCTACTAAATACTCAGCTTTTGTCCCAGTTGTTAACATTTTGCCGGAGCTCAAACATGTGAAAATTAGCTTCAGCCCGTTTCTTGCAATGGAATATGAAGACATGTTTGACGCAACTAGCCGGTGGGGAGATCGCCCACATAGAGTGAGATCGGCTGCAAAAAACAGCAACATCGCAAATCCAACAGGGAAACATAGCAAATCATGGCAATATATCAGCAAAAAGTGGTCAAAAAGGGGATTTTTCACGAGCAAATACCAATTTCTGGGATCCAGAACGAGGCCGCGCCGCTCTCTGCTTGGATCCTAGGTGCCCAGCGATATAGCAGCCATGGGGATGGATTTTACGGGACATTCATATGCTTTCCCTAGTTTGTCGCCACGTGTCTTTAAGACATATGATGATGAAATTTTGGGATATCCCATTTTCAGACGCATACAGTATGTTTTCCTCTCTATGTTTTGAGTTGTCTAAGCACACCAGTGCACATATGTTTATTTGCTGAATGTATGTAAACGTGTCTGTCTGTCCGTCCGTCTGTGTCTGTGTGATTATGTGTAGATATATGTGTATAGATGTATGTGTAGGTGTATGTGTATTTATGTGTATTTATGTGTATGTATGTGCATGAATGCATGTGTGTATTTGTTTGTACGTATGTGTATGTATGCGCATGTGTGTGTAGATGTATGTGTGTGTATGTGTATATATGTGTTATATATGTGTATACATATGTATATATATGTGTATGTGTATGTATATATATATATGTGTGTGTCTATGTGTATCTATGCGTACATATGTGTGTATGTGTATCTATGTGTGTATCTATGTGTGTGTGTGTATCCAAAGGTCTGTGTATGTGTCCGCATTTGCATTTATGTATGAAAATGTATGTAAGTACGTAAGTATCTATGTATGAACACGCGTATTGGTGAAAATTGGGTACCCTAAACATGCTTGTGATATTCGAAAGGACTCAAACCTGTTGGTTCCCAGCGGCTTAGGTGTATGT